TCACTGCACCTGGGAAGACGAAGCAGCCCAGTGAAGGTCCCTACTATGTTCCTACTAGGCAAACAAATCAATGGCGGGGATTATTGAACACAATTCCCACAGATTCCTCGTCAAATAACCTGATTTTTCTGAAAAAAGTCCTTTCCTGATCAAGGTTCCTAGTAGACACCAGAGTGTCTGTATCTGTTTTCCCTCATCAACCTTGAAAAGAATTTGCTGTTCATCCTCTTCTTGGGCAAGTCTGCTCCACATGGTCCAGAAACTAGATGGATCTTGTAGACCTTGCAGTTTTTACCACCATCTCAATACACAGACTGTCCCTGATAGTTATTCTCTTCCAAATTTTGCTGATTTCACATCAAGACTGAACAGGTGCAAGATCTTCACCAAGCTGGATTTGACTAAGGGGTATTACCAAGATCCAATGTCCCCTGAAGACATTCCTAAGATGGCAGTTATTTTGCCTTTTGGTCTTTTTAAATGGATAAGATGCCTTTCTGTTTACAGAATACAGGATGTACTTTCCAGCGCCTCATGAACCAGATACTTATAGAACTCCCACACTGCTTCATATATGTCGATGATATACTCATTTCCAGTCCAGATATCCAGTCTCATCTTCAACATGTTCCCCAGGTTCTAGACAGACTTTGCCTCCATGGCCTCAGTTTAAACCCAGACAAGTGTGCTTTTGCAGCTCCTTCACTCGACTACCTTGGGATGAGAGTTTCTGCAAAAGTTTTTGTTTTCTTGTCCAAACACACTGATGTGATCTCTGCCTTTCCCTAACCCTTTAATAAGAAAGGTTTACAACGCTTTCTAGGAATTATCAAATTCTACAGGCGTTTCATTTGTGGTGCAGCAGGTCTTCTTTTCCCCCTAACTGAAGCTTTGAAGGGAAACGTTGTGTCCTTAAATTTGTCCCAATCCATGCTGGACTCATTCTCTGCCGCCAGGTCTGTTCCAACCCTGGTTCACTCTGATCAAACCGCCAGAATCTTCTTCTCCCTCGAAGCATTAAGTTCCCACGTTGGAGCAGTTTTCCAGCAAGAAGCAGCAGGTTCCTCTGTGGAATTAAGATACTATGCCTTTGATAGAGAGCTGCTAGCTGCTTACTCTTCCCTCCGCCATTTCCAGTTCTTACTAGAAGGTAAAGAGTTTGTTTAGTTCTTCGACCACAAACCCTTAACTCATGCCTTGTTTAGGACTTCTCATGCCCTGGTCCGCCATGCAGCAACCTTGTCTCTCCTACATCTCCGAGTTTGACTGCAGAATCACTCATCTTCCAGGTTCTGAAAACGTGGTTGCAGATGCTCTCTCTAGACCCAAACCAGAGGTATCTTGTTCATCATGCTCCACCTCAACTTTTAAATCTTCGCCTCCTCATGTAGTTTCTACAGTAGCTGCTGTCCTTCAATATTCCTGTCCAAAGGTTCAATCTCTCTGCTGTTCCTCCGCCCTGACTGCAGTTTCTGTTCCTTTCTCTGGATCCAAACTGTGGTGTGATACATCAACTGGAATTCTCACCACATTGGACAGCACCTCTAGATGGCTGGAGGCAGTAACTGTCAAGTCTATAACAGTCTCAGAATGTGCTGGAGCCCTGTTGAGATATTGGATCCCTCTGTTCGGAATTCCCTAAGTCATCACCTCCGATTGAGGATCACAATTGACGTCCTCCATTTGGTCTCACCCTCAAGCTAATGGCTTCGTGGAACTTTTCCACCGCCAGCTGAAAGTTTCCCTCTGAGCTAGGTTGACAGGTTCTGAATAGTTTCCTCATCCCCCCTCTGATTCTCCTAGGATTCAGAATGTTCCCAGAGATGTTTCAGCAGTTTGCTCCACAGAAGTTCTTTTTGAAACTCCTTTAACTTTGCCTGGTGAGTTTCTCAACAACCATGAGGTTCCCTCTGTTGAATACCTCTGACATATCCAGCGAATTTTAAAGAATAATCCAGTTTCTCCATCCCACCATTTAATTCTCCATCCTGGTTTAGAAACAGAAAACAAGATTCCAATAAGTTACTGTCCTGTTCTCACATATTTGTGCGAGCAGATGCCTTGAAGCCTCTCATATTTTTGCTGTACAGAGGTCATACTTGATTCTCGACTGTTTTCCAAAGTTTTTCTCCTCCAGGTTGGCTTTAAAACTGACTGTGTATCCGTGGACCAACTGAAACCAGTCCTGTCAGAGGTTCCTGTGGTAGTAGAAGATCCACCTTGTCGAGGAAGACCTCCAGCTTTGTCACTTGTACGTGCTGCACCTCGTTTTAAAGCTAAGAGTAAACCCAAACTAATTCCATGTTCTCCTAACAGATTCTCCTCTTTGCCAACTCACAGGAACCAAAGATGGCCAGTTTGAGATAAACCTCATCCTCTTCAATAAGTTCGAGGCTGATGATGAGGGGACTCCTGTAGAGGATCAACAATAGTTGTCTTCCAATTCATAAACCAAACCAAATCATTTCTGTAATATACATGTTATATAGTTATTGTTGTTCTTTCAGAATTCAATATTAATATAGTTCCCTTTCTGCTTCTATCAAATACATAGAGTCGCTACACTATCAAAATACTTAATTGAATGCCGAAACCAAAAACAAAGCTTCAAATTGTCATATTTTTAGAGTTTTGAGTTGTCTTTACAGTCTAATCCTGTAATTGTATTCAAGTTATATTCAAATATTTAGAAATAATTGATGTTTTCCTAGAAAAGAAAACAATAAGACCTGAGCAGTGAATATACCAGTCAGGGGCGGATACATGATTTAAGTGAGGGGGGGGGGCAAGATTTTTTAGGAAAAAAAAATTAATAATTAGGAACAAAAAATCGTGGCGCAGGCGACAATTTTTTTTGACTTAAAAGACTCAAAAAGAGTCAAAATTAATGACTAAAGACTAAAAAACTAGATTTTTAACTTTTATGAACAAAATTCACGGATTAGAACAGAGATTTAGGAACAATTAAAAGATTGTTCAGGAATTAGGAACAAAATTAAAGGATTCGGACAGGGATTTAGGATCAATAAAAAGATTGTTCAGGAATTAGGAACAAAGATATAGGATTAGGACAGGGATTTAGGAACAATAAAAAGATTTTCAGGAATTAGGAACAAAATTAAAGGATTCGGACAGGGTTTTAGGAACAATAAAAAGATTGTTCAGGAATTAGGAACAAAAAAAAAATAAATATATGTAAATATAAAGCAATAATCAGAGCAGCTTCTCAGTTCTCATATTTATTATCTTATATGGAGTAGTAATCTATGTTTGTTTGTTTGGAACTCATAGTCATAACTCAGATTATGAGAGTCGACTTTTAAAAGGAAAAATAGCTAAATTCTCAATTATGACCAAGCGCGGGTAAACGGTGGGAGTATATATATATGAGTACCCTGGGCAATGCTTGGTTCTCAATCTAGTTACTTATAATTAAAGTAGTAGTTGTAAAAATTCTTGTAAATTTCGACGTAGGAACCATGCAACCTTTGGATGTGTGATGTTTCATTGACATTTATTTCTATTGGCGTTCTGTCGATTTCGTTTTCTTGAAATTTAAACGGAATTCAATATTTGAAACAGGTCCAAGTTTAACTAACAATAGTTTAAAAAAAAAAAAACACGGGTTTCTAAAAGTTTTAAAGACATGGCATAATTTTAGAGCATGTGTCAAAAAAATACTTTCAAATCTGCAAAAAATTAAGAAGTATTTGAGGCAATCTGTTCTAAAAAATATGAAAATATGAGAATTAAAAGATATAACATCTTTAAACAAACATTTTGTAACAAACAAAAACATGCAACAAATTTAAGTTTTTGTTTCTCAATAACAGAAAATTAGTAAAGTTTTGCAAAAGAAATCTTGTCTTTTAACACTTTTGGTCACTTGGTCTATTGTCTATACTCCATTCAACTTTTCATACTCCATTCATACTCCATTCAACTTCAATACCAAAAAGGGGTTCCATACAAAATATGAAACAAATGTTTTATCTTCAATTGCACCCCCCACCATCCAAGGTTTCAACCTAGTGATAGAAACTAAAATAGGGTTCCATATAAACAGGGTTACTCACAAAGAATGAGACTTCAGAGACGACGTATGAAATGTATACGGCCTGTTTCCTTATACTCATGATTTCCTACAACTACAAATTTATTTTTTTCTTTATCTTAACATAAAACAAGCCATATTTAAAGAATTTCAAGAATTCCTTAAAGAATTAAAGAATTCCTTAAAGAAATAAAGAATTCCTTAAAGAAATAAAGAATTCCTTAAAGAATAAAAGAACTCCTCATGGTCTCATCCTTTGTAGGTTTATACCCTGTATAATAAGGTTTCCTTTTAACCATTGTAGAAATGTTCAGTCTCAACTTCATTAATTTGAATTCAAATTGTGTAAAATTTTCCTCTTGTATTTGAATAGAGATTTGCTCAGTTTCATGGGTAATTTGCTTCTTTATTCTCCTCCATATTTGTATTCAAGAAGAGAATACAGGGATTCTTAAATAAATAAAGGAGAAATATATTCACTGAATAACATGAATGAAATTCTAAAACTAGGCTTTAAGAGGGGGGGGGGCAAGAAGGGCACAGCCCCACCTTAGAATTTACAATGTATGAAGGTTGAACTTTAGGACAAAAAATGTTTTTCCAAGAATTTAGAGATGAGGAGAGGGATTTAAATCCCCCCTGAACATCAAAGAGCTGGCATGAAAAGCTAAATTTCTTTGAATTATAATTAGTTTATGGAATAGAGAATTAGCTGGATGCAGAGCAGTTTATCAAAGCCATAGACTAGTTAATAATATCAGATAGGACACAGCAAAAATGATCTTAAAAATCTAACTACATAATTGAATGTAGTTGAATTGTTTTACAAGTTTTAAAAATAATCTTAAAATGAAACATAAACCATTCAATATCTTAAAGTTAAATTTACATTTAAGTCAGTATTTTTTTCTTTATTTACAAAATATAACAAATATACTAAATTAAGTTTTTGAGGAGGAAATATTTCAAAACATCCAAAAAATAGAGGAGGTTGTGGGAATATTTCCCCCCCCCCATTCTACATTTGGAAAGTAACGTATACATATATTGCTTACATTTTTTAAATAATTGGTATTAGTGGATTGTAAAGATTTTTGATAACAAACTCACAACTTACAGGGTGTCCCAATAAACATGGGAATTTAGTGACGAATTCGATATCGTCTTTTTAAATAATTCTTTGATTTAGTATAGTGATACCTACAGAGAAAGCTGTAATCTGTAGAGCTTCGTCTGCTATGTTCACATTTTGTTTGTTTATGTTTTGACTGCATACGGTTGTTCTTAGTAAAATAAGAAAATTGCAGTATACAAACAGAGTAAACTTGTCCGTCTTCACTGTTCATCTTGTGCAGACATTATAGACACATCTTTACAGCCATTTACCGTTTTCATAAAATAAACTCTAGCAGACATAATAATATTATGGCTTTGGAATTAGGTATTACAATGCTAATTCATAACAAAGACGACATCGAATTCGTCACTGAATTCCCATGTTTTTTGGGACACCCTGTATAAAATTAGAATTGTCAAGTTTAAACTAATATTGAAAATATAAACTAAGGTCTGCGAAAAAGAAATAAGACTTAGACAAAAAAGCATCTTATTAATTCATAACAATTTTTGATATCATTTATGTTTAATTTATTCTTTTACTCTTTCGATCTTTTTAGTCTATTTTTTTGCAAAATCGTTTTGCTTTCATCGACTCTTTTGCAAGCATAGCATGTGTTACAGTTAAAACATGGGTTCTACTTCAATTCAATTGAACTCTGTTTAAAATTAGTAATTAAAAATTAGATTAAAAATTGAAAGCAAATCGATTGTCAAATGATTGATTGATTGGCAATTTATTTGGTTGAAAGTAGTTTTTTACGGTACAGTTAAAAATATTTAAAATTTATTTTTTAGTTATTTATGTAAAAAAGTATAGAAATAAAGATTTTAAAATATAAGGATTATAAAATGAGAGTAGAAGGCATCCCTCTGAATTTCTATTGAGCATTACCGTCTCAGATCTCAGTTGAATTGTTTTCACCAATCAATGTTAGTCTATATAATTTTCTTATGGAAATCAATGAATTCCGTGCCATGAATAAAATAAGGGAAGAATAGAAAAGGTGCTCGGGAACTGCTCGCCTAAATCAAGATACAATGTAGCCCAACAATCATGATAATTTTAAATGTAGTTTTTTTGTGTTAATACTTTTACGGTAACAAAATAAAAAATACTAAAATCTCTATAGAATGTTGGCTTTTGCTAAACAAAGGGATTTGTTGAACGATCAGAATACAGATAATGAACGATCAGAATATAGATATGAACGATCAGACTACAGATGATGAGCGATCAGAATACAGATAATGAACGATCAGAATATAGATAATGAACCAAAAATCAAAGATTAATGATGCTACAGCAATTTGCAAACAGGCAAATTTTTAATTAAGTCAATCGTCAATTTTATTAAAAAAAAGCATATCATTTTCTCTGTTTCTTTTAAAAAAAATTATACAATTTTATTGCTTGACTTGGCTTCAATGAGACATACATAAATGGTCCTAGAAAGTCCACGATTATTTCCATCATTAATATATAAAAAAGCATCGAAAACCGTTTATGAAAAGAATTTTTTAAATAAATTATTTTATTTCACTAACCTCCACCCAACCTGTCCTTTCATAGTAACTACAAGCAATCTTTTGTCCGAAGGTAGTTGCAGCCAACAGCCAGCAGCAATCAAGTTTCTTTCCGTTCTTTAAAATTAATTTTTTATTATTAATCATTTATGATCGTAATAAAAATTTAATAAATAAAGTTCTTCTTCGATTTTAGATAATTAATTTCTAGTTTTTTTAAGTCTTTCACATCTTTTAAGCGTATCTAAAGTATTGGTAATTTGCTTTAATTAATAAATTTAACCAAATTTCTTTATATTTTAACCAGTTTTGAAAATAATGTTACAACAATGGGATATAATACATTTTGAACAAAACAGTTTTATGGCAATGGTTTTAACTTTTAAGTTGTTCAATAAAACACTTTGTGGATTAAAAACGACATAAAAATTTTATTTAAAGCACCCAGCATAAAAATAGTTTTGATTTGTTTAACTTTGAAAATACTTCGTTCTTCTCAGGAATATCCGAAAATGTATTTTTTCCATCAATTTTAATTTTCATACCTTCATAACTTCGTCTGTCAACAGTTTCCCTATCCCTGAATAAAAGAAAATGATTTTCTAGATTTTTAAAGAGAATTTCTGATTTAATTTTTTTAAAGACTTTATTACCAAAAATTGTTTTGTTTTATGTTGAAATTTTGAAGCCTCCGAACTCAAAACTTTTTCCCAAGGTTTTTGTAATGTTTGTTTTACGGCATTATTGGAAAAGGCATGGTTAGAAAAAATAATTTTCATTTTTCTCTCAGCAGAAAGGTATTATTAGTGGTGTGCACTTGAAAGGTATTAATAGTGGTGGGCACTTGAGAGGTATTAATAGTGGTGTGCACTTGAAAGGTATTAATAGTGGTGTGCACTTGAAAGGTATTAATAGTGGTGTGCACTTGAAAGGTATTAATAGTGGTGTGCACTTGAGAGGTATTAATAGTAGTGTGCACTTGAAAGGTATTAATAGTGGCGTGCACTTGAAAGGTATTAATAGTGGTGTGCACTTGAGAGGTATTAATAGTGGTGTGCACTTGAAAGATATTAATAGTGGTGTGCACTTGAAAGGTATTAATACTGGTGTGCGGTTAAAAGGTATTAATAGTGGTGTGCAGTTGAAAGGTATTAATAGTGGTGTGCACTTGAAAGGTATTAATAGTGGTGTGCACTTGAAAGGTATTAATAGTGGTGTGCAGTTGAAAGGTATTAATAGTGGTGTGCACTTGAAAGGTATTAATAGTGGTGTAGACTTACAGTAGGCTGGATGGATTTCTTAAAATAAAGAGTGTGCTCACCTAATCTTCTAAATGCTGGATCTACACTAAATCTATTAATTTCTAGAAATTCTCCAACCTAAAAAAAATATGCTTTAGCTCTTACATCTTGGGGTAGATGGCACTGTTTAGGATCCATTTAATTTTTATGCGGATCCGGATCCGGAACGAGTTCATGAAAATTTCTGAATCAGAGATTAGGACATTTTTTATAATCTCTCTTTTTTTAACAGTTCAGATTTGGGTTTGAGAGAAACTGTATTCAGATATTATTTAAAGGAACTGTGTTCAGATAATTGTTTAAAGGAACTGTATATTCAGATACTTGTTTAAAGGAACTGTAATTGTAATTTCAAATGCATCTGCAAGCAAGGGAATTACCAAAATTTCAACATTGCCCTTTCAAGTTATCAAAGAGGACAGAGAGCTCAGTATGTTCATCCCTAGAATGGCGTTCACATTTCCGTACACCTGGAGTGTACGTAAGCGTAAAGTGTGAAATCAAAGCCAGACTATGTTTTGTTCAACGCGGTTTTCAAAAATTCGAATGTAAATACTTATTTTTTAAGTCGTTCATCCTGGATCAGTCAAAGGTTTAAAGGTTACTGTTATGAATCGGACATGACAATCTACAAATGGAGGGTCATGCTTACAGTCCTTTAAAGTTGAAGTACAAAATATTGATAAAGGGATTCTAATAAAACCAAATATTTCTCAACCAAAACGATGCATATGACAGAAATTTTTTGATTTGACTAATTTTATCAATTTTCTAGCAAGACTTTCTGGATTTTCGATTAATGTTGCATTTGAATAATATTTATCAATAATAACCCGTTTAATATTAAGGCATTTTACATAGTTATCATTATTTGAATTTTAAGTCAAAATTCAGCTTCCAGAACTTTTGTATTGCGCATCCCCGGCTTTGATCTCCATCTTGATCCGATTAATATAATTCCTCTTCCTCTTCGATATCCCGTACAAGCAGTGGTCAGTGGGTGTACCCTTGCTCACCCTGCAGGGAAACCTTTAATTCAGGGATCGGGCAATTATCAAAAAATTTAAAAGTACCCATGTTGGAAATCGAAATAACACTTTTGGCCTCCGGTGAAATACTTTTTTTACATTTTGGCAATTCTCCTAATGAAACCTAAAACACTAGGCTTTAGGGGCGCTTCGCGCCCATCTTTTATTTTACTACAAACAGTTTCTCTTTATATGCATAGTAAAAAAAAATCGAGGATTTTATAAAATATTTCGTGGATTTTCAAAATTTTCGACCATCCAAAAACATTCCCTGGGGTCACGAGAGGTCCCACTAAAAATTTGGGCCCGATCAGTTCAGCCGTTTTGACTTAACGTTTATTGGATACAAACAGACAAACAAACAGACAGACAGGCAAGCAAAGTATACATATAGAAGAATAAATATAGAGTTGCAGTTTGATGATTGGTGCTATAAACAAGTGGCGTATCAATTTCGAGTGACCTTCCAATTATATTTATAGAATGGAATACCCAAATCCACAACGGTACCCTTGAAAGCCTTGTTTAATTATTTCCCTTGTGGTTTCTTTACTAAAGTGACTTGCGCATTTCTACTGAAGAAACTATGGGGAAAATGTCATAATTGAACATTCTTTAAAGCTAGAAATTCGACGATATCCCTCACATTACTGATCAGATAAAAGTTTTATGGGTACTCTTGTAAATTGAACATATCTTTTTTTATAAATGGAGGGTCACTGGAAATTATAACGACAGTCCTTTAAAGCAAAACATTCTCCAGACAGCAATTCTCAAGGCAGAGTTTGAGATCTTCAGAGTTACCAAGGTTACCCACAAATGATTAAACATCGAAGACGACTATACGGAATTTATGCAATTTTCCTTATTTTTACAAATCATCCATAATTAATTAAACGACTATATATTTCACAGAGGAAACTAAATTTAATTCTTAGATTGTTTAATTCAAAGCGTTTTATGTAATCCATACTTCAAGGGTAACCCTGTACAATATATTTGTAGGAAAACTCTACAAATACAGGGTGTCACATGAAACATGACAGTTGGTGACTAGTTAAAAATGTATTTTTCCTGAAATTTTTCATCGATTTTTGTAACTAAATAAACTACAATAATATCTTATACAGTGTATGGAAGAAGACATTCCTAACTATTCATCAACTATCATGTTTCGTGGGACACCCTGTAGACAAAATTTTAATTCATCTCGATTATAAATTACCTTCTTGAATGCAATTATCCCTACAACTAGATTTTTCACTTCTGCCACCAAAAATCCTGTCATATTTAGAAAATCCTGTCATATTTAGAAAATCCTGTCATATTTAGAAAATCCTGTCATATTTAGAAAATCCTGTCATATTTAGAAAATCATGTCAAACTGAAGGAAATTAATGAACGCGTTATTTGAACTATGACAATTGTCTCATTTTTTCCGCGTAAACTTTGCAATTTTTTTTTCGAACATAAACCTTAATTGTAAATCTTCATTTATTTTTCAAAGATGTTTTTCTTATTAAAAACTACATTTTCCATTGAATTTGCTTTTGAATATACTTACTTAGTCTCTGGCTAAATCTGTGGACAATATGCAACTAAAAATAAGAAGCAGAGGGAAACCGGGCACATCTTTTTTAATAGGGAAAAGTTTTTGTTTGTTGTACAATTAAATATTTTGAATATTTTTTAGGCAAAAACCACGCTAATTTCACAATTTGCTACTGTTTTTGACCTGTAAATTACAACGTGACGCCTAAAAAAACTTACAAAATCACGAATTTTTACAATTTAAAACCAAATATGAAAAAGGAAACTAAACAGAATATTTTGACCTGTCTGATTGTTATTGTTGGTCCAGGCTATCAGGTCCAGATCCACCATGTCTGTATTCAAAGCATTCCTGAATACAGGTCATGGAGTTCATAGAATACATTTAGTACATAGAGTACATGGAGTACATAGAACACATAGGGTACAAAGCCTAAAGGTAACATAGGGTACATAGAGTACAAAGAGTTGTGCAGGCTCTTTCATCCAAAACAAAATTGATTTTTTGAAATAAAAGAATATGCTTAACACTTAACGTAGTCGTTTTTAGATAATCTGAATTAAATATTTGATCAAACAAGATCAGTCTTAAAAACGCACCTAAACGTTGAGGTTATATCTTTCTTCGATCATTGTTGATAAGCCAGTAAAGAATTTTTAAAATGTAAAAGCTCTGACAACGAGTCTAGAATAAATTAAAGAGTTACAAATTAAGATGTCAGGTACTGATGCAAAGGCTTTTTCCCAAGCGGCAACTTCCAAAATGCGCAATTTCCAAAGTGGCGACTTACCAAGTTTATCCTATCCGCAGCGCTCGACCCCCTAGCCCATCCTAGCCGCAGCGCTCTGCCCCACAAGAGCCTTCGTCGCGTCAGCGGGCCTAACTTAACTTTTGTGGTAAGATGCTGCTTGGGAAATTGAACAATTGGGAAGTTGCAACTTGGGAAGTCGTCTTTGGTAAAATGCCTTTGGGAAAATACTGAACACTCAAATTACAAATATTAGAAATTTTTTATTTAAAATATTAAACAAAGACGACTTATATCTCAAATTAGTTTGGTCATTACAATTCATGCTAATACCTGGCGTATACATAATATACATTGTACTGCACCAGTAAGTTAATCAGCTGAATACAACCAACTAGAAAAACAACATTTAGTATAAAACTGCGTACAGAAAATATTATAAACTCAAATGTTCAATCCATATATATTGGCATCCTGAAGGCATTAAACTTTGACATTTAAAACTAAGAAAAGTTGATCTACCAGAAGTCATAGCTTGAAATATATAAGGTCCACGCCAGTAGGTTGCAAAGAAATATAGATTAGAAAATCAGAGATTGTGACAAGGACTAAATTCGATAAAACTATTCCTCTGAAGACGAAAGTTGGCGTCTTTGATGTTTGAAAACTATCCAGAGGAGAAAAATGTGCATTAAGAAAGGTTGCACGAAAATTAATAGCTTTCCGAGATGTACAGGGTTACCCACAAAGGATGAGACTGTAAAGACGACTCAAAACTCTAAAACGGCTTGAAACTTGATTTTTGGTTTCTGCATTCAGTTGAGTATTTGATGGTTTACTAGATGATTTAGCACAGCCATAAACCTGTTACAAGGGCCCTGAAACCAACAACACGGACTAATTGCAATTTCCGTGCAATCGTCTCTGAAGGGGTAACCATCTCATTATAAGGAAAAAAATTCGGATCAAATTTTGCTATTGAATTTATATCAAAGATCACAGACAATCTCTGATCGTTGTCTCTTAACTAAACCGCATATTTAGTGGGATTCTTTGTATTTTCTGTTAGTGTAATAATTATGCAAAATTTTATAAATATCAAATCAAATCAAATCAAATCAAATCAAATTAAATTTAATCAAATCAAATCAAATCAAATCAAATCAAATCATATCAAATCAAATCAAATCAAATCAAATCAAATCAAATCAAATCAAATCGAATCAAATCAAATCAAATAAAATAAAATAAAATAAAATAAAATCAAATCAAATCAAATCAAATCAAATTTAATCAAATCAAATCAAATCAAATCAAATCAAATCAAATCAAATCAAATCAAATCAAATCAAATCAAATCAAATCAAATCAAATCAAATCAAATCAAATAAAATAAAATAAAATAAAATAAAATCAAATCAAATCAAATCAAATCAAATTTAATCAAATCAAATCAAATCAAATCAAATCAAATCAAATTAAATCAAATCAAATCAAATCAAATCAAATCAAATCAAATCATATCAATATATATAAATCAAATCAACACAATAATAAAAACTAGATGTGACCTGCAAGTATAAAAACTAGATGTGACCTGTTGTATAGAACTAGACGTGACCTACCAGTATGAAAACTAGATGTGACCTGCTAGTATAAAAACTAGATAAGACCTGCTAGTATAAAAATAGATATGACCTGTTAGTATAAAAACTAGATATGGCCTGCTAGTATAAAAACTAGATATGACCTGCTAGTATAAGAACTAGATATGACCTGCTAGTATGAAAACTAGATATGACCTGCTAGAATAAAAAGAATCCATGTTGAGGAGAGGAGGTAAGTAAGACCAAATAGAAAAACTTGAAATACAAACGTTGGCCTTCTTGGGTCAAACAGACGCCTTTAAAATAAAATGAATTTTCTGAATTTGTTGTCTTTAATTTAACTCTAAAAAAGGGGGTTAAAAAAAGATAATCGAACTTAAACTTTTATTAAAACTCCACTTTTTTATTGACGCTGAAAATATAAAATTCTTTTATTTTCAAATTGTTTTTGCATTTTAACAAAAAGTAAAAAACAATTATATTGGTTGGACTTTAAGATTACCCATTAACTCATTAATTCGAATGAGAAATTTGCAATATCTAATTATAATTGTACTTAAATATTACTCACTTGTATGCGTGTCTAACAGTTGGTCCAGATGTTAATCCTTTAAAAAATAGTTCTCTTACTCTATAATAATTAAGGTAAATTAAGTTAAATATGAACATAAAAATTTTGGTTTTTTAAAATAAACACTGAAAAATTCGGAGCCCTCTTCCAACTACTGTTGATTCCCTTTTCAAAGGTAATGCTTTATGCCTGATTCACAATCACAACAGTGCCTTTATTCCTAAATCTGAGTAATAATGAGGAAGATATAGCTTTTTAAAATCCTAAATCATTTAATTTTTGTCAATTCATTCTTTCATTGTCTTTGCATCGTAAGTCCGAAAGGATTTTCTTTTAAAAAAGAAACTACAAAATTGTGAATCATCCAGTTTTCGCTTAATCGCCATCATTTCAAGTCCAACCATATCCAAACAGACCTTCACTATGAAACAGAGCTGAAAACTTTAGAATGGTGGATATCCAGATCAATGCTTGATCTCCAGATTAAATAATACTTGTTTTCCTCTTGTTTTTAATCTCCAGTTAATTAACCAATCAGGATTAAGGGTATCCCATTCTAAAGTTGTCAGCTTTGGGCTGTTTTTTAATGCAACTCTTGTATTGTATGCCCCTAATCCTTATTGCTAAATTTTTGTATCCATTGTCAAGTTCTGAATTTCTGCTTAATCCCTGCTGTCTTCGAACCAATAAGAGTTCTCTAATTGATTGTGCGCCAAAATTCTAGAATTTCTCGGCTTCTAATTGGCTGTTCGGTTTCTACAATTAAAACCTAATTGGTTGCAGTTAAGACAATTTCACGAATATTAACGTAAGATAAAATTAGTCATCAGATTAATAAAGAAATTAGATCAAGCATTGATTTTCTTTGTATAATCCTCTTTTTGGATATTTCTACTGTATAAAAGTTACGTTTGATAACAATTACAAATACAATGCTATATCGATTGGGCTAATATCCAATTGATTTAAAGTCAGCTGTTCACAGGCCGGCTTTTAGACGATTTAAACAATTATAAATTTAAACTTGAAATTATTAAAATACATATTTTAGGACTATTTTGACTTTAAAGGTTAGTTTTAATAAACACTAATCCAAAACTTACGTTCGTTCAATTGATGTTGAGTTCAATTGATATGACACCATCAACACCAGAAATCAAAACCAGTTTTTCAAAAGTTAAAGAGTGAGTACATCTTAACATGACACTCTGATTGGATAAATTTTTAGCTTTTTTCTTTGATATCGAATGCGTTTTAAAAAAATCTTGTGTTTAGTAAAACTATAGAGTTTAAGCATTAATCTTGATATCCACCATTCTAAAGTTTTCAGCTCAGATAAGAAAAATCTTGATTACCTTGCATGATCTTGAGCTTGATAAGGTCTTATCTTAATAGTTTTTTCCTCATTCATTGTACAACTATTTGATTTTTAGGTCTGAAAAATAAAATAATAAATGGTACAGTGAGACCCATGAATTTATGGAAAAGGAAGACGATTTTCAAGGCTCAAATGGTTTTACATATTCAAATGAACATGAAACATTAACATATTATACAGCAACTAAGCAATTACTCACAAATTTCACCAAAAATTAAATTTTTAAGGTTTTGGTAAAACTGCGCGCTTCATATTTATTTCAAAAACACATCGTATGAAACTTTATTAAAAATTATAAAAATATAACTTCCAAGATATATAATAAGAAGAAAATAACTTTCAGATAAAAAAAATACAAAATAAATTCCTAAAAATCAAATAATATGTTGGTAACTTCCTAAAATTAAAAAATAAACAAGTTACTTCCCAAAAATGAAATAATATTTAGGTAAATTCCGACATATAACAAATAAGTTTGTAACTTCCTTAAATTAAAAATAAGAATATAACTTCCTGTTAATATAATAAGTAGGAAACTTCCTTATATTAGAAAGTAAGTAAGTAACATAAAGAATATTGTTACGCATGACGTTTTTAGTTGTTATGTGAAAGAGGTTGAGATCACTAGAAGACTGAAACATGTCAAGTTTATGTTCATGCATAAAAAACAATCAACACGTGTGTGTGGATAATTTAAATATTAACAATGAAAGCAGCTTAGAAAATACAAGGAGGCCCATTATACATGACGAGGAAAACCTTGTGTGTATTCATGTCCCAGTAAAAATGAAAATCTATTACTCGTTGGATTTTAATTTGGAAAACTCAAGATATGACAGGAAATTTCTGAACATCAAAGCCGGTGTGACGTGAGAATCCGACCGGGCGAGAGATATTGTTCGGGCTACCGTTTTGCTGCCTCAAACAACAAATTTAACAAAATCTTTTTATGGATTCCTTTAAATATTATGATATTGCGATTTAACATCACATAAATATTACATGCCCTAGTGATCTATATCTATGTTTTTTTAAATTCTTAGAGAGGAAGACGACTTTCGAACCGTAATATTGTTCTTTAAACTTTTTCTAGTGTTACTGACTTTAAAAACTAAAATAACTATATTTTACAACTGGAAAGTGTATTAAAAATGCTTTTATAATTTAATACTGCGGGGAAAGTGTCAAAACTATTAAAAAATGCAGTAGCCCGGACATTTTTTCACCCCCTGGCTGATTATCACGTCACACCGGTAATATAGTTTGCTTTTAATAACCATATTCAGTAACGCCTGAAAAAATCCAAAATTAGGATACTGCAATTGTGTAAAAAGGCAAAGTGAATACATATTTATTCACTTTTCTTGAAGGGACAGTCGCCATGATTTCAAGTGATCTTAAAGAGGGGGATGCCCGATTCAGTGTACTCTTTCTCTTATCGTTAATATGAAAGATTAAGACGTTTTTTTCTTTTTCGCATGAATCCCGTACGTTTCTTTTACAGATCCGCTATGCTTCAAACTAACCACATTTGGTACTATTGGGAATCGGATATCCTATATAAATGGAAGTTTACTTAAAATTACGTCTAAAGTTCATTAAATTAACAATGGAGTAAAATCCTGATAAAAATCATCTGTTTTAACATTTACATCATTCAGAGGTACGTATTCCTAATACCTAACTAGTCATCTTCGGCTGACGACCGTTGGGTCACGTGATCGACAGCTGCCGGCCCTTAGACTCGACTTACGGTTTTTTTTCAAATTTGGTTGAATCACGGACTCTGTGTAGTCTTAAGCTTAATTGTAGGTTTGAGTAATTTATTAGTAACATGGCAGCTTTTCTAGGATCGAGTCCGTAAGAGGATTTAGAATTCGCAGAATACAGGGTGTCCCATGAAACATGACAATAGCAAGACGTCTTAAAGGTCTTTGAAATAGTTTATGTCTTTAATTCATAAACCAAATTTTAGAATTAAAATTCTATAGTTAATAGTCACAAAATACTCCTAGTCATACTCAAAACGTTGCCAAAATGTGGTCTGTCTTTTATGAGCTTTCTATATTACCGGAGAAATAAAGAATTTTTTTCAGATTTCGACAATTTTGGTGTTAATTTAATAAAAATTGAAATCTGAACGAAATTCATATTATCTCCAGTAATATTGACAACACAAAAAAGACAGACCACAATTTGGAAATGGCAGGACCAGGAGAATTTTGCAAATATTGTTTCGAGAATCATATATGTCAAAATGGGTTGACGACTGAATGTCACTAATAAATTATAATTCAAAGATGACTTTAAAACCGTCGTGCTATAGTCATGTTTCGGGACACCCTGTATCTAAAAATGAACTCGCACAATACCTCAGACCTTACTCAGAAGAAAGATGAAGAGAGATATTTCGAGGAATGTTGATATAATTAATTTTACGCAAAGTGTCACATTATATTTTGTAAAGGAAATTTATTATTCTAACAAAAGTCGAGGGTTATGTAGTTAAAGGGATTGTGACTTGTGAGCGTAATTTCAAGTTACTCTCCTGTTCGAGTTACAGTCCAATTCACAACGGTACCATTGAAAGATTATCTGATCAAGTATGAATTTAATACAAAGAGAATTGTTATTCAAAACTGTTCATTTCATTTGCAGTAACTCTTCAAAGTGACTTCCACTTTATTGCTTCATAAACATGGAGAAATTATTAGAATTTAACGATTTTTAAACCAGAAGATTTCAAGCGCATCGTATGTGAATCGGACATGTCCCTCGTTAGCTGGGCGGTGACATGAAATTACGACGACAGTGGCTTTATAGGCAAATCTTTCTCATCTCTTAACTGTTAATCCACGTATAATTTCAATGTTGATTTTTTCTCGATGCCTGTCAAAATATCGATTTTTTTTAGAATTTCAAACATTATTTTTAATTTACTAGCATTTTGATCGCCAGGATAAATGATGGTTAATGTTCTGAAGACACAGACACCGAAAGATACAAAAGTTAAAATTACCCAAATTATCTTGTTTATCTATACCAAGGACTATGAAATAGAAGGGAGATACAACTGACACGGCCCGCCCTACCATATGATTATACATGCTTTGTAGACGGGTACTCCATTTGTATAAAAAAATTAGAATAGGTTATTGTATATCAGACAAATATATCTTATTCAAATGAAGTAACGTCTGCAAAGCATGTATAATCATATGGTAGGGCGGGCCGCGACAGTTACATTCCTTGTTTGACTAAAGAGATTAATAATTACAATGGTTTGCTTAAATACAAAAACTTTGTTATTTATTTGCCCTGGATCCCCTGGAACATATAATTTTCTAAAAACATTATTCAACATCCCCCTTTCAAAATCATTAGAAGTTTTGTTTTTATTTAATTTTTAACATTAAGGGTTGTATTTGCTTAATTAGGGGAAATTAATGAAATAAAAGTATCAAAAAGAATAAAAAATCTACCTGTTACTGAAGAATTTTTATTTTTATTCCTATATCATTAAAACTCATCACAAGGGGAGGATACTTCTGAAATATATAAACCCCTGACCTTACAAAAAGGTTATCGTAGAAACATAAGTATTAATAGTACTTAAATAACCTTTTATCTTTGTTAAAAAATAGTTTTATTTGGCACTTATAATAATTTTAATAAATCACATACGATGTTTAAGTATAACAAAGATATTCAATTTACTCGTCAAAAAGTATAAAAAAAATCTTGTCCAAATCGTGGGGATTATTTATGTCAGATTTAAACAGTATGGTTGAATAATTAAGTTTGATGGTTTCTTGAGTTTCTTAGATGTTGATCACTAGTCCATCCTCCTCCCTTCAATTCAGTACACAGTACACAGTACACAGTTCTTAAATGTTGATCACTAGTCCATCCTCCTCCCTTCAAGAAATATTTCTTTAAACTTTAACTTTAAACTTCCCATAGCATATTCAATATATATATATAAAATAAAATAAACTATTGATGGAATTTAATATTACTATACTTTTAAGGCGCTTCGCGCCCATCTTCTATTTCAACTTTTAATTGTGGCTTTATCTCTGAACATCTTCTCTTTGTACCGTATAAAACAAAAACAAAATTTTTTTGCGGATTTCATAATATTTTTTTTGTGCATTTTCAAAATTTTTTATATAGATTAAATTCTTACGTTTTCCCCTGTAAGAGTAAGGGTGTCCTTTTAATTTGGCCAATTTTTAAATTGCTGCAACTTTGTTATTGTTCGGAAATTTGCCAATCTGTAAAAAATGTTAGAACTCAAAATATTAACATTTTGTTTTATAACTAAATTTGCTTCTTTTTCTTTAACAAGTATTAAAAATAACCGGCATTTTTTTAAATGCATAATTCAGCTCTGGTGCGAAAATTAATTAAAACTCTTAGAAGTATTTCGGTCGGGTTGACTTTGAAGAGTATTACTCTTCAACGAAAGCATGATTGACGAATTTTAAAAACTCTGAGGTAGCTCTTGACCTTGGCTCTCCTCGTGCAAAACGTTAGTTTTATCTGACTCGCCTACCCAAAGAACTGTAAAACTACGCGTAAAACGTTTTACCGAAATACTGGTGTATAGGAAAACCCTAGAAACCTTTATCTTATCAATAATTTAAAAGATATCGCCGCGTTTCTAGGGTTTATAAAAGTGTTTAATTCTAATAATTCATACAAGTTTTCCAGCAGCTGAAATAATCATGTTTCCAATTTATAAACATTGAATTATAATTTATACTTGATTCGAAAATGCGTTTAATGGTACTGTAAAGAGCCCGTCTTTGCATGGAGGCCACTTTAAATTTTAACGTAGACACTAGACATTTAACAATCAAAACTTTTTTCCCTCTCGTTATATTATTCAAACACGTGCAATGTGCACGTCAATAAACTACTAGCTGCTGTAAAGCATAATTTTGTGAATAAAATTATCAGGATTTTTTTCAGTAGAATATCTCAGTGTAGATCATTTTGACCCGCGAGGTTGTTAAGAAATTATAGGACGGGGGGGGGGGGCAGCGTCCGAACAATTACCGATCCTGCTGAATATGGAAAAAATCCATATAAAAAGTGTGATAAAGAAATATGTTCCTGTAGGTATTATCCTCCTTCAAGGCCAGAGTCCTATAAATAGAATATATTTTAGAGAAAAATCAAACCATTTATCAACAAAAATTTATTGAGTACATCAATTTGGCGTGTCTGTCTGTCCATTAATCATTAGAACCTCTAGACCATCGAGACACATTTTTAATGACAAACAAACAAACAAACAAACAAACAAACACCCAAACAAACAAACAAACAAACACCCACCCAAACAAACAAACAACCATTATTCCGCAGAAGTCAGAATGTAGACTTAAAAATAACATTAGACTCATCCCCACTTATCCACAACAAAAGCAACTTTCTACTAAATTTTTATGTTGTCAGATGAATTTTTCATGTTTTTAATAAAGAAAAATACATTTTTAGCAATCCCCTTTAGATCCTAATCAGAAGATGAAGTAAATTCTAAAAACAAGACTGAACGACACAATTTTGTCTGTTTCTGTTAAAGCCTAACCAACAGAAGATTTTTACCACCTATTCCCCCGACAACGGGACGGTTAGTCCAGCTCTAAGAAGTTTTCTTGAAAACATTCGCGCATTTTCATTTTTAAAGACGATAAAATCGTGAACAACTACATTTTCAGGAAATACAAATAATACTTAACCAAAAATATTGGACAAATACGATTTTTCTATAAAATCAACACTGAGTTGCGAATATGATAAGACTTTTAAGAAAAATTAATAAGAAAGAAAAATATGTCATGAAAATATTTTGCGTCTTGGACTAACCTGAGATAATCTCCAAGGTTCTCTAGATCTTCCACCTCGTTGTGTACAACAACTCCGTTTCTAAATATGTACATTGTAAAACTATTCCGTTTCTAAACATGTACATTCTACAACAACTCCGTTCCTAAATATCTACGTTGTACACTTCACCGTTCCTAAACATGTACATTGAACAACAACTCCGTTTCTAAACACGTACATTGTACTAAATGTACAACTACTCCATTCCTAAATAAGTGCATTGTAAAATTATCCTAAACATATACATTGTACAACTATTGCATTCCAAAACATGTACATTGTACACCTACCCCGTTCCTGTACATATTCATTGTACAACAACTCCGTTCCTATACATGTTCATTGTGCAACAACTCCGTTCTATACATGTTCATTGTACAACTACTCCGTTCCTATACAACTTCATTGTACAACAACTCCGTTCCTAAACATGTACAATATTCAAAAACTCCATTCTTAAACATATAAATTGTACAACTACTAAAGTCCTAAACATGTACGTTGTATAACTACTCCGTTCCTTAAATGTACATTGTACAACTACTCCGTTTCTTAAACATGTACATTGTACAACTACTCCGTTCCTAGGCATGTACATTGTACAACTACTCCGTTCCTAAACATGTACATTGTAGTAAATGTACAACTACTCCATTCCTAAATAGGTGCATTGTACAATTATCCCAAAAATATACATTACACACAAACTCCGTTATAAAACACGTGCATTGTACAACTACTGCATTCATAAACATGTACATTGTACAACAACTCCGTTCCTAAACATGTACAATATACAAAAACTCCATTCTAAAACCTGTAATTTGTACAACTAATGCAGTCATAAACATGTAAATTGTACAACTACTCCGTTCCTGAAATGTAAATTGTACAACAACTCAATCCATAAGCATGTGCAACTAGACCGTTCCTAAACATGTAACATCTTTTTTAAGGTTATTTTTATGCTGAATCTTGGGGAAAAGGTGTCAGGCTAGGAGTAGTTCTTTTAAGTCCCTCAATAATTTACAAAAATGTAAATTTCAAACTATTTAAAAGATTATGTAAATTGGGCTTTTTTGACGTTTTTCCTAGTCTAAAGCCCCTATGAGCCGCTCCATACTTCATAACATATGGATTAAAAATATTTCTAGGAGAGCAGAATATGTTAAGAAAATATTTATCCCTTTTATAAAATAAACAATGTTTAATTTTTTACCTTCCTTTCTCCGCAGCTGCCATCGTAAGTTTTCTCTTCCCAGCATACAGATCCAACACCCATTCATCTAGATATATTTATGATATAGTATATATATATACAGATCCAACACCCATTCAACTATATATACATATGATATAATATATATATACAGATCCAACACCCATTCAACTATATATACATATGATATAATATATATATACAGATCCAACACCCATTCAACTATATATACATATGATATAATATATATATACAGATCCAACACCCATTCATCTAGATATATTTATGATATAATATATATATACAGATCCAACACCCATTCATCTAGATATATATATGATATAATATATATATACAGATCAAACACCCATTCATCTAGATATATTTATGATATAATATATATATACAGATCCAACACCCATTCATCTATATATATATATATATGATATACTATATATACATACAGATCCAACACCCATTCATCAATATATATATATGATATAGTATATATATATATATGTATATTTCTAAGCCAACTCATGATGCCGAGGAATATTAATAACAATTTGTACAGCAATAAAATAAAAAAATAGTCTGTGTTTTACTAACTGCAGAGTGCAGATATATGTACACAATACAGAACCAACACCCATTCATCTAGATATATATATGTATATTTCCACCATAACTCATGCTGCCGAAGAGTGTTAATAACAACTAACAGCAATAAAATAAAAATAATCTGTGTTTTACTAACTGCAGATATATATATATATATACACTATACAGATCCAAGGACCAACACCCATTTATGCCATTCGAGAATTTATTTACTGAACAAAAATGTATGCTGGAATACACTTTGAACTCCGTTTCGGTGTCTGAAAACTGGTTTATCGGTCTGTTTACATTCAATCAAATTAGGCTTATGTCGAAACTTAAATTTACAGTTTCGACTCGAGAGAAGGAGAGGGTTTTTGATAATTATTTTAAAATAATAATTAATTAACCTCGCTCTATTTTATCTTAATAATGTGTATCTTTATAACTCTGGACTGCGACTAAGGTTTGAACACTGGGTTCAATTTTATGTTTCGGTTGCGTTTGTTTTTAAACAACCAGAATACAATTGTACAGCCACCGAAAATGAATTTATTGTATGTTACGGAATTTGGTGTATTCTGAATAAAAATTTCTCTATTGGCCTTACCTGACCTTGCATTCATCTACATATATATGTTCTAGCTGAAGTACCCGGCGTTACCCGTGGAATTTTAAAGAAGAAAAAAACCGATTTTTGAGAATAAAAAATTTCTATTTTTGACATTATGTTACCCCTTTAGCCTTTTGGCCAGATATAGCTAACTTATACATAAGTATTGTATATACAATTACTCATACATATATATATGAGCGAAGAGCTTTTTGATACGGATATTAAAGATCATAACTTTAGTCAGCAGCAGACATTTTTGATATAGATATTAGAGATCACAATTTTAGTCAACAGTCGACATTTTTGATTTGAAGCGTGTAAACTCTTGAGACCGGAACTAATGCACCCTTTGCCTTGAACGCTCTATCTCGATATCCAATGTGAGAACTTTAGAAGTCAATATGCTTGATTCCATCATTAACCATCACGGGATATCAAAGAGGAATTAGATTAATCCGTGAATATTGCGCAGGATGGAGATCAAAGCTAAACCCCAGTCATCACAACAAACAGTTCTGTCTTCAGAGATGGGAACCCTTGTATTGATATCCCGCATGGTACTTGGATAAGTAACTGAAATGAAAAGGCATTGTCCACAGTGGATAATGGATATTGGATATCAAGATCAAACGATCGGAATTAACAAAAGAATAAAATAATATAATGATTAATCGATTGCAAAATAAAAAAAGACATAAAATTGAAAATTTTAATACTTTTCACTCCAAAATTCTTCTAATATCCTGCAAACATAACAAACTGATTAAAAAACCTCTTTTTTCTCCTTTTTCCCTCTCCACTCTTTTTCTCTTATCCCGTCCCTTTCCCCTCATTTTCTTTTTTTCTTAATTTTCTTTCCCCAACCCTTGAAAAGATACCCCCCTATCTCCCTGCCCCATGAAGACACCCAATGAGAGTACCATAAAAGACGTGAGACCAAACCCTACCTTTTTCTGAGAAGCAGTCAATGATAGTGTTCTCCAATTCTTCTATTCCACTCGTCCTAAAAGAACACATGTTATTTTAATGAATCTGTATTCAAGGGTGTATAATTTCTCAAAAATCATTCCCCCCTTATTATAAATCATGTTTTTCCGTCCAGACGGTATAGAGGTTTTTTTTACCGGTTTAATGGCTGAATTGGGAGAAAATAACTGTTTTTTAAAGGGAAAATAGTTCAATTTTCGGTTAAAAGTATCGAAAAGTTTGAAAAACATGCCTTTTGATATCCGTATTCAGGTCATAAACATTACTTCAAGATTCACTGATTTTTTATCACAACAGAATTGTAAAATTGTTTTTCTCCTTTTTCACTTATTTTTATACTAAAACTTGATTGACAATCATTCAGAAACTGAAATCTGGCAATCTCTCTTTTTTTCAACAGATTTAGACTTTGAGAGTAAAAAAAGAGTTTTTTTTTGCAGTTTTTGGTTGATATTTTGCCCCTTGGATCCGGATCCGTACGGATCCAGGAAGCCAACGGATACGGATGCTAAGCAATGGTTTAAAGGGTAATCGGGCACTCCCCTCTTTGCATGGAGACTCAGAAATTCTACGTACAATCCCTTTAATCCAAGATATGTTTGGTGTACCTAAAGCAGGTACTGTATCCGTCTCTGACAAGTTTGACCGGAAGAGTTGACCCCTCCACCTCGCAGCCAGGAAAGAAATATCCAACCAGGAAGAAACTTGTGGTTTCTCGCAGCTTTCCTGTCTCTACATCCTAATTATCAAACATTACCTTTTTTTGAAACTAGTTTTATCTAAATTAAAAATACTTGAACATTAAACAAGTTATGTATATTTTTAAAACTTAAAAAAGGACAACAAAAATCTTTAATTTTTCCGCTAGGGAAAATTAATGTAAAAAATGGAAGAAAATACTTAAAATTTTGTGAAAGGGAATCAAAAAGATCGAAAAAATATCAACGATTGAAACTTTATCAAGAGCAAAAATGTGACATTTCGCTGAATATATTTTTGTAAAAAAGAAAACGGGGAAAATTTCAATTTTGAAGAAAAGATAATTTAAACAGAACGTAATTTTTTGTCAGCTTTTTACAAAAAGTGGTTAACTTTCAGAAAATAAACATGGCTTTATTAAAGAAACTGTATGCGTAATTTCAAGTGATCCTCCTCATGCAAAGATGACAAATGACAATGCCCTATTTACAACGTTACGCTTAAAAGCTTTGCCTGATCAAGTATGAATAAGATATTATGTTTTTGATTGGTTAAACTGGTTTTCATTTCCGGCTTTTCTGCGAAAGCGAAGTTAACAGAAATAAACACTTTCCGAGTCAAAAAAAAACGACGTCGAATTTTCCACCTTTTTATCAGATTCAGGTTTTAAGACAACCGTTGTAAATCAGGCATTGCCATCTTTGCTTGGAGGGTCAATACAAATTACGCTTACAGTTCCTTTAAAAAACAATAAAAAAATAAAATAAAAAAAAATAATCCCACCTTGTTCGCGTCTTCTCTATGAAAAGTAACAAACTGGACATGTTTGGTCTGACTTAGCATAGCGTCAATATTCATATGTACATTGGTTAAACCTAAAAAACCAGACAATCAAATAATCAACCAATTTAATCAATCAATTAATCAATCAATCACCAACCAACTAACCAATCGATCAAACTATCAATCTTAAACCAACTTACATATCAATCAATCAACTTCTCTATCGACCCAGTAACCTATTTATCAACCCATCTAGTAACCTATCTATCAACATATCTATCAACCTATCTTATATCAACCTATCTATTAACCTATCTTTCAACCTATCTATCAACCTATCTATTAACCTATCTTTCAACCTATCTATCAACCTATCTATCAACCTATCTATCAACCTCTCTATAAACCTCTCTATAAACCTCTCTATAAACCTATCTATCAACCTATCTTTCAACCTATCTATCAACCTTTCAATTTATCAACCTATTACAGGGTTGGAAAAAACCCGGGTTTTTTTCAACAACAAAAACCAGCCCAATGGAATTTATTGGGGTTTTTAGTGTGTTTTTTTTCGGGGGCTTTTGGGTTTATTAATTTAAAAGTAGTTAGAATCTACTAAACTCATATTAATTCCTAGTAATTAGAATGAATGAATGTGTCAGTTTTATTGCTGTAAACTCCTAAAAATCATTACAGTTGATAGTAGACCTTATTTCTAGAAGGGTTTTATCATTTCTAGAAGGGTTTTATCATTTCAAGAGTGAAGAAAATGCAATAATTAGAAACAGTTTTTAAAAACCCAAAAAAGTCCACTTCCAAGTGGGTTTTATTGGGTTTTTTGGGTGGTTTTTTATGCCAACCCTGACCTAATAACTTATCAACCAAACCCATCAATCATTAAATCAACCAATCTATTAACAAATAACCAACCAATCCTTCAATTAATAATACATACTGGTCAACCATATTAATTATATAATTAAACAACAATACAGATTATAGTAAAATCCAGAAAATAATATTTTTAATATTTTTCATCAAAAAAAAATCAGAAGAGAAACCACAATGTTCATATATCTTCCTAAATGATGGACTGACTATCGAAGCGTCTCGAATTACCTGTTCCCATGAGCACCACGAATGTGTCAAGACCAGCACTCTTGTTCAATATTTTTATCTGTTTTGTCATCTTGAAAATATGTTTTGGAGTCCATTCAGCAGGGGTGTGAACAACTAAAATAAAATCAGATTGAAAACTAGGCTAAGGGACGCCTCCTTTCCTGAGAATAATTTTAGCTTTTAAAGGGAGTGACCGGCTATGTAATGTAGTTGAACTGAGAACGCAGTGTTGTGGAAAACTGTTTTAGGATTCATTTGAGACATATTTCACTTTTTAAAGATCTGTAAATCCTGAGTTTGAGCGCAAATTCGACGTTCAAAACTCCTGATTTGGGGGTGGATACGCTTTCAGAATTAGTTTTTTTTAAATTATTAATTAACGACGACATAAAATGTAAAAATATTTTACAATAAACTACAGACGTCATGTTTTGGAACATTTTGAGAAAATAAAAATTAATCTTATCATCGAAAATAAGTAATCTTGTTCAATTATTAGTTTCTATTATCTCATTATTCTAGTTTCTCGTTATTCACAAAGATGTTCGCTGATTTTCTATAACTATTATTGAAAAGACGACATTTAAAGAATTTGAAGAAATCTGCGAATAAATTCAAAGAAAATTAGAAATTCAATATAATAATGAAAACGAAATAATCGATTTTAGCATTGATTTATTGACAAATTTCTTTAGTGAAATATGTTCCTAGCCATCTAATTAGATTACTGTATAATTTTTACTTTATTTTTCGTTAAAAATCAAAAGGCAAGTTTATTTTTCGCCCTTACGGGAAATTTCTGGTCCATAACTGATTTTTTCCCCAGGTTTCAAACCTCCATCTTGCCGTGCATTATATTAAAACACCCCTGAGATATGATTCAGTGTATAATTTCTAATTTAGGAGCCATATAAGCATTGAAGTATTTATCTAATATATACATTTTGCTTGTCTGTCTCTCTGTTTATTTGTATCCGAACGTCAAAGCAAATTTTCGAAATCCATGATATGAAGAACCATAAATCCGCGGGTTTTTTAGTTTGTTATTGTTTGAAAATCGAATAAGGGCGCTAGTATGTTACATTTTTGCGTCAAATTAAAATCTGTTGATGAATGTTGAGGATCTAAACTTAAGGTTAATTTAAGGTTGGAGGAGGAAAATTTGAAAATAACTGGAAAGTTTTAAGTACTAACTACAAAATCATTTGAAAGGGGAGGAGGATTTACCTGCCAGATGCGCTCCAGGAAAACTGGAGGAGAGAGGAAGAGCTTTAGATATTTTCTCCAGTTTTAGATCCAGAGGTTCTCCAGCTAACAAATAGATCTGGGTTCCTCCAGTTCCTACCAAACAGAATTATTACTGATCGTCAGAACTCAGAACGGCGCTATGACAAACAGAATTTTTACTAATCGTGAGAACTCAGAACTACAACTGTAAAATTGTATTTTTATTTTTTAAATTATTAAATAAACCATTAAAAGACTTAATTCAAGGCAGAAGACTTGATTTAACCTGGGTATCGTCATACTTTAAAGAGTTGTTGGTCGTTTTTACTGTGAATCTTCTTACCGATGAATTCCGGCCTTGGAGGAGCCGGGGCAGGTTTCACGGGTTTAACTGGAGACAGTTTCACAGGTTTCCGTCCCTGAGATTTTCTGGCAGGAGAACTCTTAACAACAGGTCGACCCAAACTTTTCCTTTTCTTTAACAGTTCCTAAGAGAAAAAAAAAACTGCTAATCAATCATTCAATCAACAACAAAACTATTCAACCAATCAATCAAACAATTATACATCAAATCAATTAATTATATTTTTAACCAATCCAGAAAACAACCAATCAATTAAATTATTAACAAACCAATAAATCGAACAATCAACGAATCCATCGTTTCATAAAATCCAATCAAATAATCAACCACTTAATCAATTTAGCAATTTTTAATTAATCATTCAACCATCAACCAACTTACATTGTTACCGTAATTAACATACAAATTGATAATTCATAAACTAACGATATATGAATTATATAACTACAAAAAATAATTAGGAAAAAAATGGTCTCTTTTATTATAAGAATGGTGTAACTTACCTTCATAGCTGGAGTAGGGTTTACGATTCCGTCATTTTCATCCTCATCCTCTTCCTCTTTCTCCTCCTCGACCTCATCGATCTCACTGGATTCTTCCACAACTACCTCCTAGATACATTTAATTTTCTCTAGGACTAAATATGGGTATCGTTTTTGAGAACGAGCCAAATTTATCGTGAACGATACAGACAAAAAGAAACGAACGATGAACGAACAACTTGGATCATTCAGAGAAATGAAAAAAATATCGTTTTTGTTAAAAAACAAACAAAAACGAATGATTTAAAATCATTCGTTTGAACGAACTTAAAAAAACTATTGTTTATTTACTGAACGCACGATTATTTCTATCAAATCTTTTAAAAAAGAATAAACGCAGGATTTATTTTACTAAAAGAACGATTTTATTGAAGGAAAGATTTTATTAAACGAATGATTTTATTGAAAGAACGATTTTATAGAAAGAACGATTTTACCAAACAAACGATTTTACTGAAAGATCGTTCATTTAGAAAACGAACGAAATCAATGATGTTAACAATTGAAAAAACCCTCGGCCGAATTGGGTACTTCACGAACGATTAAGTCCAAGTGGAAGATCCATTTACATGTTAAGAAAAATTAATATATGAAGAATGTAGATGCAGTTAGAGCTACAAACATGCAATCTTATCAGAAAACTTGTAACTTTAAGGAAAAGAAACATTACTCTGTTTTTCTTTTATTGACTATTTACAATTAAGTAAATTGTTTATACCTGGGTTCTTATACTAGGTCCTAGACACCTTACTGCTACACTTCCACTTGAGAAATCTGTCTGGTCCAAACTAAACAAATTAAATAAAGATAAAAACTAGAAAATAAATTCATCACTGTAAGAGCAACCAATTAATCAATGCAAAACTTAGTCCATTAATGGAAGAGAAGCTATTGTATTTCTTGGTTGAACCAAGCATCGCTCTTTATCAACAACCAATAAAAATGACGTTGACTGTCCCTTTAGGAAAAGATACAAACCTGGAATGTCCCTGTGAGAGAGCTGCTTTGGACCGGATTGAATTCCTTAAAAAATGGATAAGTTAAAAATATTTGAAAAACCCGGGAACGTATGGGTTAAGAAAAATACTACAAAAATTTATTGTTTTCTACCTATGACTACTATATCCCTAATTCAGAGATTAAAACCTAAGAACGTACCTTACATTTCAGGGAAACAAATAATTTAAAAAAAAGGGGGGGGGGGGGATGGGGGTCAGAATAAGGAAATACATTTAAACCAAGTATAATAGATTATTTATTTAAGATATGATTTTAGACGTCCTATTAAAAGAGCAGCAATTAAACCTTTCATTGTGTAACAATAATATTTTTCTGTCTTAAACGTGTTGAATTCTAACAATTTCCTTCCTTTTCTCCTTAGCGTAAAACCCACAGGTTCTTAAAAGAGTACCACAATTCGAAATAATAATGAAAGTTTCTTTTATCCTTGATCAGAGTACCGTTTTGAATCGGACAGGTTCTTCAATAAATGCGTCTAGAGTCCATTAAAGGAGACATCCTAACTAAAACAAACCCTGGAAAATAACAAACTATCTGCATCATTGAGGTGTGGATAAAGTAGTGATCAGAGCTAGGCGTGGCAAGATGTGAATAGGGGATTTTACCTAGAGGGCGTGGTTGATGAAGTGATGAGGGGCGTGGCCAGCGATTTCCGGCCTCGCTTGGGCAGAGGGGAGTCAAGTTCGGTAACCTAAATTCACTTGTTGTTATAAATCAATCAATCAATCAATCAATCAATCAATCAATCAATCAATCAATCAATCAATCAATCAATCAATCAATCAATCCAACAAATCATTACTAAATCAATACATTAGTTAATCAATCAATCAAACTACCAACCAATCAACCAACGTATGATTACTAAAAATCTTTAGGGAAAGTTCAATTTCAAAATTTATACCCCAGTCAATACTTAGAATCTAGGTAAAATGAAAATATCTACATTTAAAATGTTGATAAAAACAATCAGGAAATAATCAATTAAAAATCCCTTTGAGAATAGAATTCACCTTTGAAACTGCAAGGGAACGTCGAACCGTCTTTTTAACAGTCGGAGTTGGTACCTTAAACATATTGTAATATTTATCTTGATATCCGATAAAGACACTTTAAACTTAAATAAAAACTATCTCTGCAAGGTATGACCACCACGGGATATCAAAGCAGAATTAAATTAATCCGTAGGTTTGCATAAAAGGAGATCAAGACTTGATCCCAAGATTCACAAACCAAAAGTTGTGACTTCAGGAAACATGTTTTATCCTATTCTATGCACTTATTTTTTTAGAAATCAACTTTGTTGTTCCTTCAGGAAATATAGTGGTTTAGAATTACCTCCACTACCCTTTTGATGATTTTGTGAAAAATATGAAAAATTGAACATTAAAGGCATGTCTTTTTTTTAGTTTTTTAATGACACTTTTTACCCAAAACTTCCCAATTAAGCGATAAAAAAAAACTTTTTAAAAAAAATTTATACTTTGTGGGTGAAAAAAATTCTTTTCAAAAAGGGGGGGGAGATAAAAAATGATTTTTCGAGAAAATTTACACCCCTAAAATATTAACCTAACTAGTCATTTTTATACATTCTAAAGGGAAATTTTAAAGAGACCCAGGTTGCAAAGATGTTAAAAATTAAATATCCATGATTAAAATTAGATGTCCTTGTTTAAAATTAAATATTCATATTTAAAATTAGATATCCATGTTTGAAATTAGATATCCATGTTTAAAATTAAATATTTATATTTAAAATTAGATATCCATGTTTAAAATTGGATATCCATGTTTAAAATTAGATATCCATGTTTGAAATTAGATATCCATGTTTGAAATTAGATATCCATGTTTAAAATTAGATATCCATGTTTAAAATTAGATATCCATGTTTGAAATTAGATATCCATGTTTAAAATTAGATATCCATGTTTGAAATTAGATATCCATGTTTAAAACTAGATATCCATGTTTGAAATTAGATATCCATGTTTGAAATTAGATATTCATGTTTAAAATTAGATATCCATGTTTAAAATTAGATATCCATGTTTAAAAACGGGAATAGGGTTAACTGTGGGTTCTTAACAGGAGTGTCTAGTGCTGAAAAATGTTCAAGAAATTTTTGAAACTAATTACTTTAATCACGTTAATATATTCCACATTATTTATCAGATTAAGATTTCAAAGGTTATTTTGTAAATCAGACAAGCTCCGCTTTTTAATGGAGGGTCAATGAAATTAAAACAAAAGGCAATTTAAACCATTTAAGAAACCGGCATGATTTGTAGAGGTGCAATTATTTAATTATTTAAAGACTAAGTAGAACCAGAGACCGAATTTGAAGAATTTGAGGCAAGGTATCGACCTGGCTGAACAGCGCTTCAATAATTCATCTTTCTTAAAACTTTGAATCGGTGGTTCAAATTTGAACTGGCAGTAGATTGTTCAGTGACGAACTTCAAAGTCTTTAAAATTCGGTCTCAATTCTTAAACCATAAATTATTCTTATTCTTCAATGTTTGTTATCACCTCCTGCTCCCCAAATGCTCTTTTTCTTCCTGCTGAGACACCGGCTCCATCTACTTTTGCTGTAATAGCGATTTTAAAACATTGTTTAAAAAGATATACCCCCCCCCCCCACCCATTCCATCTAGATTCTAGAAGTGCATTAGAAAAGAAATACTTAATGGGACTGTAAAGTGTAAGACTTCAAAACGGTACACTTAAAAGCACTGTCTGATCAAATATGAATTTTATAGTAATGTTTTTAATTCTAAAAATTAATTGTTTTCAATTGGGGTTTCTAGTGACCAGCGCATTTCTACTGAAGGTAAATGTACAGGAATTATTAGAACATCTTTAAATCCAGAAAAAGGAGAATATCTTTTAGCGTTTTTTTTCATATTCTTTGCGCCTAGTTAAACCGCACTCTCGCTGTCTTTTAGTTTCATTAAAAAAAAAAAAAGTTTGAATAGATTAAAATGGATTCCTGGTTCAGGTTCAGTAGAGCCGTTCACACCTGTAGACCTGAACATAAATTTTATATGTGAACATTGAACATTGAACATTGAACATTGAACATTGAACATTGAACATTGAACATTGCACATTGAACATTGAACATTGAACATCTTAAAGGGACTGTAAAGGAAAAATGAAAGGGGGTCCGGTTATAGGCTAAAACCTAAGAACTTCAAGAGTTGATCGAGACCTATAAGAGTTCTATCTGATGTTCCTGTCTCGAGAAATTGATATAAAATGAGTCAAAGTTATACCAAACTTGTATAAATAAGATTTGGTACAATAATCTAAGGTTTAAACAGATCATATTCGATAAGCAACCAATCTGAAAACGACGATATCCCAGAGGAGCCTTAAAAACTCCGGCTTTCTCCTATTATTAATTATTTGAAATTAATAATTTTGAATTTCTATTAGATATAATTGACCAGAACTCCCATCAATGTCAGTGCAGTATCATTGTCACGTGTCTCCGTCTGTATCACGAAAATGAAGTTTTTGTTTTAAAAATAAAAAATGCTTATTTTTCAAAAACTTACACATTGAGTTCTCCGTTAGCTTGAAGGATGAGACAGTGTGCCAGTTTCTTCATTATATCAATATTCATTCCAGTCTCGTTTATATCTACAGGTTTATAATTCATCTCCTCCTAGTTAGGAAAAAACATATCAGTAATTTGATGAACGAAAAATTGTTCAAATGAACTACTAATTTTCAAAGTTTTCATTTGCCAATATCAATTTTTAAGTATTTCCAAAACAAATAAAAATTATTTTATATATATTTCCTTAAGTATTATAGGGCTAGGTTAGGTTAGCAAAAATTTCTGGGCCGAGCTGCGGCTAGGGTCAGCTGTCAAAGCACTACGGCCCAAAATTATTTTTAATTTTGCTCATATGCACCATTGTAGGACCAAAAACCTGTTCGTGAACAGCTGACTTTAGTCCAATGGAACGTTAGTTTAATCGGCTATTGATCCATCGATATAGAATAGTAACTAGAAAACGGTGGAAATATTGTAGTCTAATATTTTTCTTTTTTTCAAAAAATGAAGCTAATTTTGTAATTTGTAAAAAGAAAATTTTTTATTTCAAAAATAGAACGAGGGAGAGAGAGGAAGGAAGGAAGGAGGGGGTTAAACATTACCTCAATTTTCTTGATATTCCTCCCGGTGAGGGTCTGAATCCTGAAGAAGAAGAACATAAGATAAGAAAAAGTTCAATCTTCGGTGGACCTAAAATGCTGGGGGAAAAATCAGCTTATTACAAACAGGGAAAACAAAAATGCAATCCTAAAAAAAAACCTTGCCAGTCCTTCGCCGAGTAGGAGGTATTGAATATTTTTTTCTTATATTAGAAATGATAATTAATAATAATGACCAGATAATAATTAATTATTAATTATTTAATTAAAGAGAATTGCTGGGATGTTCTGGCCCACAGTCGACTTCAACCATCGGTACTCCCCCTCTCCATACGCATTTTATAGATCGTCCATGTATCACCTTGAATAGATGTGTGAAATTTTGTGAAAATTTACTTATATCATTTACAGAAGCAAAATAGTAATCCACTCTGAATTCTAGGGTATGTTTATAAAATATATTTTCCCCAAAATTCAAAAATATGCCCTTCAAATGGGGTTTAATGATAAAAAAAAATCATTAGTGTTGGAAAAAATTAAAAATTTGAACATTGTAAGATCTGTGGATCTTTATAAACTAATGTGTGTTCAGGGTGTTCAAAGTCGAGAAGCTTGTCCTACAGAGAACCCCTATCTTCAAGCAACTAATCCTACAAATCTCTACAAATACATTGAATCTACCATTATCTATCTTACCATTCAAACTACCAATCTAAGATTTTGATGTAAACCTTTCTGAAGCCTATTTTATATTCTTGAAATTGAGTCTAATTTTCTACTATCGTACAATTTATTGTGTTTTCAGTTCACGGTTGAGTCCTGTATAAACTGCCTACCTGAAATATATACATAAGATTTAATCAGTGCAAATAGAGGTGAGCCGAAGAGAAAGAGTTCATGCTCGCTCTTATGTTTGCAGTTATTACCTGGTCTCCTATAGGTAAAAATGAGCACAAACATCTTAATAATATGGGTAATGGTATCCATTCAACTGGCTTGAGAACCGGAGTTCAAAATAGTTTACAGAATTGAAAAATACTCAAAATTGGGCAAGTTATGGTCAAAAATAGGTTTCTCTAAATATATTTCGTAAAGTACTAAAAAAAATAGTTTTTTTTTACCTAACTCAGTCAAATTTCCATATTTTACGATTCTGTAAATTGATTTCAATTCAGAAATTCAAATCCCAATTTTATAAATTTTTCAAACTTTTCTTTTTCACTTATACTAGTCACTTTTATAACATTAGACCCCATTTGATGGGCACATTTTTGAATTTTGTGAAAAATGTATTGAATAAACATGCCTTAGAATTCCAAGTGGAATTCTATTATGCTTCTATAAAATGATTGAAGTAAAATGTCACTGAAGGAGGCGTTGCATCTATGACATTTTTCAATATCTCAGTAAATAATGGTGTTAGCCGGTCCTACTTTTGCATGTATACTCATCTGATGCTCTAGGAACAGGATATGACGTCAAATCTTCAGTATCTCCGTTCGGAGACAGGAGATATGGGATAAGGTACCTCCGTCGGCTCCGATTTTTTGTCTCCGGCACCTATGAACTAAAGGAGCCCAAATTCAACACACATACACCTAAGATGCAACGCCTCCTTTCACACCCCTAACCTTGAATGTTAAAGGACTATGGACTATCTACCTAAAAGAGGGAATTGTCCGATTCCCAACCTTACCCATTAAACCTACGTCTGGGCCGTAAAACGGTAAAAATAAAGATATTTTCATTCTTTTTATCTGAGATTGATAATTCCAATTTAGGGTTTTAAAAAAAGACTTGCGGATTTGAATGACGTAACTTGCGGATTTATGTTGAAGGACAAAGATTGGGATTATCAGAACTGAAAACTTTAGAATGTGATATCTTTAATCCCGATCTGTTAATTAATCTGGAGATTAAATTCATGAGGAAAACAAGCAATATTTTATCTGGAGATTAAGAAAAAGATTGGATCAAGCATTAGTCCCGATATCCACTATTCTAAAGTTCCCAGCTCAGAACTGCTTTGTTCAGATAAAAGTTGCGAATCATGCATGCAATTCTCGCTTGAAACTACACAGACAATCCCTTTATGTTTAATTTATGTTCTCTCTCTCCTGTGTTTGAGAATACTCTTGGATATAGCATGAATATCCTCCTTCTTCTTAAACCTAGCACTGATTTCAACATCCTGAACAAATATTTAGGATTAAAAAAAAATGGAATTATGTTCTTCTACGAGCATAATTTTTACCCAGGAGTGAAACTGCATATACTAACAACCAGATGCAGGACTGAGGTTACAAGAAATTTCTTCACCAACAGAGTAGCGGAGAAATGGAACAAATTACCAGAATATATCAAAGGAACAGGAAATATTAAAACTTTCAAGTATTTATATGATAAAATACCAGACAGCAGGAATGAGAAAACTATGAGTAAAATGCTGGATACAAATAGACGTCATCTCTATGCTCCTATCTGATGACAAATCTACAAGTATTCCAAAGAGTACGGTAGAATCCTTGAGAATATTTCTAAGAATCACCCCCTAGCGGGGAAAATGATTTTTTATAATCTGGGGGAAATAAATGAAAATTGGACTTCAAAAGGCGTAATTGGACATCAAAAGGCGTGGTTTTTTATATTTTGATACTTTTTACACACAAATTTTTATATTTTCCCAGATGAAGACAATGATAAATGAAGCCCCAAAAAAATTTGCCGATCCGCACAAACATACATATATGGGAAAATCAGTTATTATTAACAGAGGGAGGGGGAATTTTATACGAAAATATACACCCTGTGTTTACCCACTCCCTGGCCACTATGATAGGAAAATTAGGAAATTGAAAGTATTTATAATAACTGGGAATAAAAATGATTTTGGGAGAAAAATAAATAATGTTTGAATTGTTTAAGAAGTTGCAAGAGCTCAACAGCTTTTATCTATCAAAATATGTAAAGTTGACCAAAACTTTTATCACTCCCTCATGGCATGTGACATGTCGGATTCACAACGCTACCCTTTCAACCTTTGAGTGTGCAAAAATGACCAAGTGATACTCGTTTTTTATCTAACAATTGATTATTTTAAAGTTGACGAGCACAGGAAGGACAGAATAATAATAAAAATCATTATATTTTAATCTTTTTAAGACAAAAAAAAATCTTCCCAATTGTTTACCAGATAAACGACAAAAAGGGTATAACGTGAATCAGAGTCAGACATGCTTTTAAAAATTGGGATTCACTTGAAATTAAGATTGTTACCTGTTTAACTGCCAGGAATGCTGGAGTCAGATCAACATTCTCTAAACCGTTTTCTGTTCTCAAAATACTCATCTTTTAATATTTGAACTCTAAAACAAATATTGAATTGAATTTAATCACTTTTAGCCACTTCCTATTTTTTAATATGTTGTTTAGTTGTAACTTCAAATGCTAAGTTATATAAACCGTTAATGCATATTTGCCTTATCTATTAATTAATACTAATATGTTGTAGATGGATCAGAGTTATCGTAGATCTGGTCTTTAAGATTCCAAACACCGTATATTCTCCTCCAAATATCCCTTCTGGTTACGATACTGAACCAAGGCAATCCAACAAGATCAGCTCCTTTATCCACTCAGGATATTTGTTGCAACGCCGCATCTTTCATGTATCGTATCTTGGAATTTTATTTCACTTGCCACTTAATCCTCCTGTATGTCTTCCACCTATGATAATTAATAAATCCAGATGAAACACCCTTAATTTCCAGTTTTTGTCGTCTACTCTTTTTCCCTTACTCGAGAAAAACCTTGTTTAAACGCGCATCTATCAAATTTCACAAAAAAAAATTTTAACACTACCTTCGGAAGTTGACTGAAATCAAGAATATGTACTAAGTATAATTTTACCAATAGATTAAATGATTGCTAGTACTAGTACAGAGACTGAATCTTTAGTTTTTATTATAATTACAGATCTATATAATAGTCCAAAATTAAGTATATTCCTAGAGGAAGATTTTTGAAAAATCCGGTGTACGCGCCTGTCTAAACCACTGACCGCGTCACCGCACTATACTAAGACACATTAAATCTCAAATAATTATTTGAAAATGATGGATTACGTCATTTATGAGCAATTTCGGCGGTTAGTCATGCTGAGTGCAATTGCCGCGTTCATTTAGAATTTATTTGATTGCGCGCATATAATAAAAAATAAGAAACGAAATGGGTCGTCTTCATTTTATAATTCTTAGTTTAAAAATGTTTTAAAAGAAGTTACCGTTCTTTCCTTAAAACAGCAATAAAGTCACTGACAATTATCTAAACCAATTTACTAAGAAAGCATGAATATGAACTATTAATTCCAGATTATCAAAAGTCGTCTTTGTTGGAAAAATATTAGTTTTGATGTTGGGCGAGGGAGGGAAGGCACCCCCCCGCACAGCTTCCGAACCTCATTTTACCTATTTGCGGCAGTGCAAGTCCCTAGAAGGCTTCCGAACCTCCCCCAAACAGTAGAACTACAACTGT